GGTTGTTGAATAATGAACCAACAATTACACTTGTGTGAATTTCTGCACGGTATATCTTCGCAAGGCCAATGTTGCTACTGCACTCGTGCTGGCTTTGTTGTTCCTTCGAAGGTCACGCTTCTTCAACAACTGCAACGTCCGAACAATAGGACTTGCAAGATCAACTTGTAAGAAAGTTGACCTACCCCCTTTCAATCAATAAGTTTGATCAAAAGTTATATCCTTCAACGTGGTGTGGTACTTGAGGCAAGGAAACCTTCAAGTGTTTACACTATAGCTCTTTGGAAGGAGGAGGAGGAGTTTGCTTCTGGATAAGGAGTTTATAAATCTCTCTTTATCAAGCTTTTTGGGCTAAGTGTGAATGAGATAGCTTAGAAGTTTGCTTTGTTGTGTTGTTGTATCAACATATCTCATTGTCATATTTTCTCCAGTCTTCCAAGAATGCTATTTATAGCTGGATTGGATAATCTATCCGTTAAATCATAATAGACTATCCGTTGCATTTGCTGGCTTCAATTTTGAATGAAGATTGTGATTTGAAGATTCTTTGTTGAAGTGGGTGTTTGGACGTACGCAATTGTTTGAGAAAGGATTCCTTTTTCCACAGAATCCGTCTTCTAGCTGTTGTTCAAGAATTCAAGACTGTAGCACTTTACTCTGTTTGTCTTCTAGTGCTTGTTTAGGAATTTTGGACGGGCTCTTCAATTTTAGAGGCCCAGACTTTGTCTTCGAGTAATTTGTTCTTGAATCAGCATAATTATCTTCAATCTAGCCGTTGAAAATCAAGAGATTGATTTTTCCTTACCAACGGGTAGAATTTCTTCATTCAAGACTTAGATAATTTTTCTAGGTCTTTTCTCACTTGTCCGCTTTCTGAGAATTCCGGTCTTCAATGAGTCTTCCGATGCTTAGCTGACAAATCCGGAGAAGTCATTCTTAGACTTCCGGGTGAGATAAAGATCCGCGCTAGTCTTCCGGTTTGAATGACTTAGCCTTCAGCGGGTTGTAGCGAGACATCTGGTACTTATGTAGTCTTCCGGATCAGAGGATTTTCATCTGATTGAGAAATCCTTACTTGTCTCTGACATTTCCGATCAAGATATCCAATTTCCATATCACCGAAAAAGATTAAGTCTTCAGGCATCAAAACGCTTAAAGAAATATCACAGCTTTATTGGAGATCTCAAGAACTCGGTTTTGACAATATTTCTAAAAAGAAAAATTACATTGAATATTGGGGGAGACCTAAAGTCCCTATTACATTCTAAATACATCATCATCAAAATCTATAATATTTTTCCCAACAATACGCTTTGTACATATCCTCCTAAATGCTCAAAAGAAGTTTATGTCCGCGTGTCGCGGGGATAATAAACCTTGGGGCGAGTTTCCGTTATCTTTGTTTATCGTTATGCTTTTCTCAATACGATCTCTTTCGCCAGAATCTTATGCCACTTCCTATTTTAGGAGGAGAAGATCCAATGACGGAGATAGAGAGAGGATCACAGTTGAGACTTGAGACATCGGCTATCCACATCCACACTCATGGCCATCTATATATATATATACCAATGTATTCGAAACCAACGAGCTTATTCGAAACCTTGTCATAGCTTGGTTAATTATTATAGAAATCACCCTAAATAGGTCTAAGACATAGAGAATAATATTAAAATAGGACTTTCATGTTTCTTTTTTCCGAAATATGACTTAATGGTAATGTGGCAGTTTACATGTGCACATTACTATACTTTTTTGGTAATATATATGACTATGTTTGGTAATGTAAGTCCTATTTCGGGAATAAAAACATGCATGGAAGTCCTATTTTGATATATTTTCAATGTTTTAGTCCTACTTTGGTGTTTATTCTAATTATTAACTTTTTTAATTGAAAAACATAGACACTTTCTTTTTATGAGAAGTCAAAATTAAATCTGACATACAAAATAATACGGACAACAATGTCCTTTGCAATTTAATCCAATAATTATTATAAAGTTGATTTAATTCTTTTTGATGAATTATTAAAGTTGATTTAATTTGTGTCTAAATGTACTTTTTGGGACTGGAAATAATGGTCCACTAGATGATCATTGGAATCTCATTGGGTGCATCTAAATTAAAAATCCCAAAGCAATAAAGTGTTTGTTGGTTACTGATAAGTCCGTTTTGTTCTTATCATTTACATCATATTCTAAACGTTATAGCACGTAAATAATATTTAATCATCTCATAAAATGTGATTTTAATGGATAAAACTCTCATTTTCGTTCTAAAAGTCATAAAAAGGGATTCCACATGAAATCATCATAAATTATCCGTTTTATGTTCAAATGCTTTAGAAAAAGGGAATATGCCATCAATGGATCAAGATTCGGGCTTGAACGAGCTTCCGGGAAGATAAAATCGACGTTCGGGCGGAAAACCAGCAGAATTGGGTCAAGATCTCGCATCAGCCGCGAAACCCAAACGGACCAGGGCCTAAGGCGTCTAAGTTGGACGCTTGGGAGTTGGACGCCTTGGCTGGATTGCAGATCAAGGAAGACACGTGGCAAAACCTGGTTGGCCGGGACAGCTCAGGCGTCCAGATCTGGACGCTTGGACTTGGACGCTTTGACTTGGACGCCTTGGATTCGTTCCTATAAATACAGCACGATTCTTCTCATTTTTACCATCCATTCTCAACCCAATTTCGGGTTCCCCTCTCTCAATTGCTTAAAATACTTTGTATATTAGTTTTAGTAGTAGTTTTGAAGTATTTTCGGAGGTTTTGACTCCCGATCCGTTCTGTTCCGCTTGTACGGAAGCCGTAAGTTTTCTTATTTAATAAAATGTTGTTTTAATTTATGTTTGCATAGTATGAGTTAGGGTCCGGATCTCTGGGTCCGGACTAGTTTGGTTGTTTATTTTTGATGTTAAATTAATGTTGGAATGGTTAATATATTGTTCTTGCCTTATTTAGTTAATTAACGTTGAAAGATTTAATTGGCCATTTATTGAGAAAATATTGTATGCCAAAAGGCTATGATATTCAAGTGCAACGGATTAAGTACAAATCTAGAAATGGATGAGTAGTAATAGAAATATTATTATTCCAATTGTTAATTTAATATGATAAAATAGATCCAAATGATGTTTAGACCCTAGGTCCAGATCTATACTTGTACTATGTGACCTTTATTTATTATTTTTACTCTGCTCCCTTTTTATAATCGTTTCGAGAAGACTTTCATAAACCAATCATAATCTTCGCCTAGTTAGAGTAATTAAACTAATTCCCTTCATCCACTTCTCGAGAGGTACGACACTCGGAGAGAAAACTAACTCTTTGTTGGGAAGGTTTACTACCCGAAAAACTACAATTGTCAAATGGCGCCGTTGCCGGGGAGTTGCACGGCATTAGTTTAATTTCTTCTGATTAGCTTGGGTGAAGATTGGTTAGAACGATCTTCTCACTTCTTTTTCACCAGCCACCCGTAATAATTATTATGGATAACTCCTGTAGTTATTACGGCCCACCTTCTTTCTACCAATCACCCAACCGCCCTCCGTTTCAAACCCATCAACCTTATCACCCACATCCGTACCCATATGATGATGACCACCAATTCAACAATGGGTCTGACTACTATCCATACCGTGAGGAACCTCCATATGATACCCCGTCTAGGAACTTTGAATATTTTCCATATCAAGACACAGATGGGGATAATTATTATGAACCTCATGGAGATAACAATGACTATGACCAATATGGGCCTATGTACGACGATCAACCTGATCCACTCGTCGAAGAAATCATAAGATTAGAACAGAAAATTTTCTATTTCGACGAGGTCTTATTTGCTGAAGGCTCCTGGTACGAACCACCCTACTGCCGTGACTACACTTTGTTTGCTGAAGAACAAATTGAAGCAAACAAGGTGGCAATTCGAGAAAGAGCAAAACTTCTTGAATCAGTCCGGAAGGAAAAGGAGTTCGAACGGAGATTATGCGAAGGATCAGAATTGATGCAGAAAATGCCCGACGACTTCCAAAGAGAGAGATTAGAAGCCGAAGCTAAAGCTGATAAATTAGTCAATGATCTCTGTAAGGCTATTGAGCTTAAACGCTCCTTCCAATCTCAAGATCCACAATTGGAGGTGCCAGTTCTAGAAGATTCACCAAGATCCACAATTGGAGCTAAAGCTGATAAATTAGTCAATGGTCCCGAGTGTCGTGTCTCTCAAGGAGTCGACGAAAGGAATTAGTTTAATTACTCTAACTAGGCGAAGATTAGGATTGGTTTATGAAAGTCTTCTCAGAACGATTATAAAAGGAGCAGAGTAAAAATAATAAATTAAGTTTACATAGTATAAGTATAGATCTGGACCTAGGGTTAGGACATCATTTGGATCTATTTTATCATATTAAATTAACAATTGGAATAATAATATTTCTATTACTACTCATCCATTTCTAGATTTGTACTTAATCCGTTGCTCTTGGATATCGTAGCCTTTTGGCATACAATATTTTCTCAATAAATAGCTAATTAAATCTTTCGAGAATAATTAACTAAATAAGGCAAGAACAATAGATTAACCATTCCAACATTAATTTAACATAATAAACAACCAAACTAGTCCGGACCCAGAGATTCGGACCCTAACTCATACTATGCGAACATGAATTAAAACAGCATTTTATTAAATAAAGAAAACTTACAATCTCCGTAAAGAGGAACAGAATAGATCTCGAGTCAAAACCTCCGAAAATACTTCAAACTAACTACTACAACTAATATACAAGCTAAAATGGAGAGGGGATGTGTAAATCCCGATGTTGGGATGCAATGGGATGATAAAAATGAGAGAGATCGCGCTGTATTTATAGGAACGGAGCCAAGGCGTCCAAGTCAAAGCGTCCAAGTCCAAGCGTCCAGATCTAGACTCCTGAGCTGTCCCGGCCAACCAGATTTTGCCACGTGTCATTCTTGGGCTGCAATTAAGCCAAAGCGTCCAACTCCCAAGCGTCCAAGTTGGACGCCTTGAGGCCTTGGTCCGTTGGGCTTCGCGGCTGTTTCGTGATTTTGGCCCAATTTCGCTCTGTTTTGGTCCCGAACACTGTTTTTGACCTCCCGGAAGCTCGTTCAAGCCCGAATCTTGATCCCTTGATGATTTATTCCCTTTTTCTCAAGTATTTGAACATAAAATGGATTATTTATGATAATTTCATGTGGAATCCCTTTTCATGACTCTTAGAACGAAAATGAGAGTTTTATTCATTGAAAACACATTTTATGAGATGATTAAATACTATTTACGTGCAATAACGTTTAGAATATGATGTAAATTATAAGAACAAAACGGACTTATCATGGATCAACTGAGGAGACTTCCACCACCACCCACCTATCTAGAGTCTCCTCCTTTTATCCTGTTGCCACCAAGCCGCAGGGATGAGTCAAGGATCCTGGACCTTGACCGAGCAACAAATCAAACAAGGTGCCACCAGAAAAGAGTCAGAAGGGCCAAACTTTATGACTCTCGGATCGGGAAGTCGCGGAAAAAGTGGGTGAGCGTCGAGCTATGGACGTTAAAGAAGCGCTTAACGGGAGGCAAGCCGTCATTCAAATAACTAAAATAATTAAATAAATTCAATAGTTTTATTTGTTAGTTTTTGAGGTTTTGCTTGCCGCACCAGTTTTGGGGGCAAGATTTATTTTGTTTGTTGTCTTTGCTTTTGCAGATGAGAGAATTGTAGGGCATACCTTACAGTGGGAGCGAAGAAGAGGTCTCACCTGGGGAAAACACAAGGTTTCTGCAACCTTCGAGGCTTCTTGATCCAACAGTCTTGGTTGAAGTTGGCTACTGAGAGAATATTGACTTCCTCAGTAAAGTCTCTTTTTCTCTACTATTTTGAAAATGATTTGGATGGTTGATGATTTTTATGGAATTTCACAATTTGACTCTTAAAACCATTTTGAGAATACTTTATGCATTATTTCATATTTTCATGTTATGGTTATCTATTATTTCAATATTCATCGTTGAATCTTGTAACTATTGAGATAACTTAGTAATTGCATGTGAGCATTTCAACCATTAACTCCAATTCCAAAATACTATTAACCACGAGGGCATGGTTCCGTTTAAGTGTGAGGAGGTAAGAGTTCGTGGTTGAAATGATCTTTTTATGAATTGTTTTGTCTATATATTTGTAGGAAAAGATTTTTTATAGAATAGTCATCAATTTTAATTGTTTGATTAATTAATCTTTAGTTATCACCCGTAGAAATTGGAAATTTTTAAAATTTTTGTCATTTTTGTCAAACTTTTATTTTTACTCTAACCTTTTGGGAATGTTTTCTAAAATGATTTGGGATAAATTCACAATTTACTAAGAGTTTTTTTAAGATCAATCAATTTTTTAAGTGCTTTATTGAAAATCTTTTTTACTGATGCTCTTATGAGTATTTGTTGTTTCTTAAAAAGAGTTATTTTCAAAGTATAAGGGGTGATGTTTCAAAGCATACTTTGGTGAGACCGAGATTCTTGTTTTAGCCAAAAAGCAGTTGGTTCTAGGTCAACTGATGAGGCGTGGTGAGTATGCCGAAAAGCACGTGGTTCTATATTGCGTGATGAGGCCTTTTGAGCGTTAGAGTCAAAAAGCATGCGGTTCTATGTCGTGTGATGAGACTTTCCAGAGTGAATATCCAAAAAGCTCGTGGTTCCATGTCACGGGATGAGGTTATAATTTTTCTCGTGTCAACATGACAAAGTTATGCCAAAGAAAATTAAACCCTTACACTTTGACAAATACTTTTGCAAGAACATGTTTTCCAATTTAGTCATAAAAAATTTATTTGATCTTTAAAGTACTCTTACAAATGTAGTTATCCCAAAGAAAGTTTGGAAAATTATGGTTGTTTAGGTTGGTGTAAAAATATTGGTTTGACAAAAAAAAATTCTTTTACATTTCTAACAATATGGGTGAGAATCTAAAGGTTCATTTCTTCTTAGCAAAAAAGGTTGATGACTATCTTATTTCTTCTTTCCTTCATAATATGTAGCTTAAACCTTGCCTCTGCAATTATTAATTTGTCTTTGTACCTGTAATTATTCAATTTGTTGCTTGAGGGCAAGCAACGTTTAAGTGTGAGGAATTTGATAAGTCCGTTTCGTTCTTATCATTTACATCATATTCTAAACGTTAATGCACGTAAATAATATTTAATCATCTCATAAAATGTGATTTTAATGGATAAAACCCTCATTTTCGTTCTAAGAGTCATAAAAAGGGATTCCACATGAAATCATCATAAATTATCCGTTTTATGTTCAAATGCTTGAGAAAAAGGGAATATGCCATCAATGGATCAAGATTCGGGCATGAACGAGCTTCCGGGAAGATAAAATCAACGTTCGGGCCGAAAACCAGCAGAATTGGGCCAAGATCTCGCATCAGCCGCGAAGCCCAAACGGACCAGGGCCTAAGGCGTCAAACTTGGACGCTTGACCAAGTTGGACGCTTGGGAGTTGGACGCCTTGGCTAGATTGCAGATCAAGGAAGACACCTGGCAAAACCTGGTTGGCCGGGACAGCTCAGGCGTCCAGATCTGGACGCTTGGACTTGGACGCCTTGGATTCGTTCCTATAAATACAGTGTTATATCTGGGCCCGGCCCTATCCTACCCTCCCCCATGTCCCACACTCCCATGGGAACCAAAGGACTTACGTTCAAACATTATGATCCATTTTAGTAACAATTCAAAGTCCTTTAACCCGGAAGGCCAAATAACTTTCGTTTTTGACCTCGGGGTTCCGCTGGCCAATCCTCTTTTCGTCCAACCCAACCCCAAATATCCAAAAGTATTTTATTTCCTTTTGATATACAAAATATAGTTCTTCCTACTCTTATTTTAGCCCCGGGCCGAAAATAAGAGTGTGTAAAATAAAACCTTTTGTTTGTTGTTATTTTCCTTCTTTAAAAGCTTTTATTGAGCCAATAAAACCCTCCCTTTATTTCATTCACCCCTGGCCAAAATACACTTCACAATCCCAACATAAACACCCACAAAGAGCCAAAACCATGACCCACCTCCAGCCCCTACTTCCTGCCCATGTTTCCCTCAAAATAACCCAAAGCCATAACTCCAAAACACCCATAAATAATACCCAGCCCTGTCCCCTTTTATTGGCCAAAACATCCCCCCATTTTACCCAAATAATAGCCACAAAAAAAACCCAGGAAACAACCACAAGGAACCAAAACACAAACCCCCACAACACCAGCCCCACCCATGAATTTTATCCCATTAAGGAGACATGTTTGAATGAAGAATGCCCCATGCTTTGAGAGAGGATGTTGCTAGGAAGCTTCCTCGTGTTCACATTCATTGCATTGTGTATTATTTCCCCCTTCCCCCTGCCTATATAAATCAGGCGGCCCTATGGCCAAATGTAACACAACTTTGAATATTAAAACTCCCTTTTACTCTTTGAGTATTTATAAAATAGTGTGATGCTATTTTAGCCAAATTCCTAATTCTATATCTTAAGAGTGGTTATCTTAAGTGTGAGTTTTAGGTTCTAGATGTTTGATTAAGTGTGTCATATCTTAATTAAATTCTTGATTCAAACCCCAAGTTAGGATAAGAGTGTGTAATATCTCTTAAACACCAACTTGGTTTATCCATCCCTGATTTTTCTTCCATTTCATATCCCTCCATTTCTCCTTCTTAATCCTATTCTTTTCTTCCATAAAAATACCAAAAGAACTCCTTCATTATCTCCATATATTTCCAAGCCATTTCCCCACAAAACATCCTTCTTCCTGCCCAGAATTCTGCCTAACAATCGATTATTTTGATTGACAATCGATTATCCGTCATCGTTGAAACACCTGCAGCCTTCAATAATCGACTGTTGCCTTTGATAATCGATTATCAGCCCTCATTTGAAACACCCGCAGCCCTCAGAAACCGATTATCATAGTCTGATAATCGACTATCAGCACTCCCTGAAAATTCTGGGAGTTTCTCATGAGAAACTGAACCCCTTGACAATCGACTATCCTACTTCGACAATCGATTATCCACCCTTCCTGCAAAAGAAAATAGCTTGCTCCTTAAATCCGAGCTTAATACCGACAAACCCGGAGCTTAGATATAACATTTGGTATCAGAGCTTGTTGTTCCACATCCCTCAAGGGGCCAAAACACCATCTCCTACATTTTCTCTTTTGAAACATTTCTCACATCATCCAAGATATGTCTCAATATGATGTAGTTGCTGCCCAAGAAAAGTTAAAGAAGGAAGTTGAGCTTATGATGAAACAAGTCAAGGAGCTCACTAATTCAATGGAGATTCCCACGTTTGAAGGAAGAAATGACCCGGAAAAGTTCTCAAGGTGGTTAGCAAAAGTTGAAGACGTCTTTACGCTCAAAGATGTACCCGAAGACAAGAAGGTCAAGCCAGTGGTGGCAAAGTTTCAAAGACATGCCTCTACATGGTGGGCTAGCGTTGCTTCAAAACGAAAGCTCCAAGGCAAGGCTAAGGTGAGAACTTGGGAAAAGTTAAGAAAACTCTTAATGATTTTCTCCCAAAGATCATCTCCACCAGGTACTTGAACATACTCTCCCTTTTTCACCCAATACTCTTTCTAAAGTCATACCACCTTCCCCACAACAAAAGCCACTCCATATTGCCCTCTCTCCCACAACCTTAACCTCCTCTAAAACCCGATCTTCACAGACTTCTCACACTACCCAAATCATTTCCGAAGCCACCACCATCTGCAACACCCAAACTCCCTCTAAAGTCCCCTCTTTACCTTGCATCCATGCTGTCCGAAACATCTCTCACCCAACTCCCTCACACCTACCCAAAGTTCCGACTAAAACAACCTCTTTACCTTCCTTAGCCACTGCTCATATTCACCCCAACACCTTCTCCACACCTCTGCCCCAAAACTCCTCAAAGCCCATCAATATTCCATCCCTAGCTACTGCCCAAAATGGTCCAAATACCCATTTAGCACCCCTGCCCCAAAAGTCCTC